GTAGCTGTCGCAACGCTTCCCCGGGCAGCCCGAAGATACAGAAAGAATGGCGGCGAAGACCGACAGCATTTCCTGTCCATTTTGAACCGGGCTCGTTGCCAGTGTAGTGTCCAGGTCAGACAGGAAGGTCTAGTGCCCAGACAGTGGCTGATGTCGGTTTCGGACTACATTTGTTGTTGGGAATCGTGTGCCCGTACTTTTCGTACCCGTCTCAGACATGCAAATCGGCGGCACCACAACATATTAATATTATGTGTGCGTCGCCCCCCCCCCCAGGAGCGACGCGCGCACCGAGAAATTCTATAGTATCTGCATCGTGGCGGGCACTTTCTGGCCGTACCGCTCGGGAAACGGTATGCTACAAGATGGGTATACTATATGTTCGAGTCGGACGCGCGCCTCCAAGGAGTACTTATAGTATCAGTATGTCTCTGTGCGTCCCATGCCAAGGCCACGCGAGGTCGTCGAGCGATCTGCATGGTGTCGGGTCCGCGTCGAGACGACGGCGGCCCGGTCGGGCCTCCCGGAGGCTTCTCGTCGCCACGGCCAGATCCGCACCCAGAGGCGGATCCGGAGGGGCCCCGGGAGGGGTCGGTGGGCCGATCTCGAGCGCAGAGGGGCCAGGCGGAACCGGCGTGCGGCGTCCGCGTCGGCACGGCAGGGGCAGTCCGCGCGCCTGCGCGTGCCCGACCACCAGATTGCGGCACCCGCGGCCGAGCGCGGGTCCCGGCTCGTGCCGGGATCTTTCTTCGCAAGCCATGCTCCTGCCCATTCAGCCTCCGTGGCTGCATCGCCGCGCAATCGCAACACATCCACGCTGCACCCCGCAGTTGCGGATAGGAGTGAGGGGGCGGCGATGACGTCGGCAGTCAGCGAGGCTCTGAACATGCTCGCCGCAGGCTCCTAACTTTTACGAATCATGCCGCGAGCCCGCCGCAGGCGCCGATTTTTTCGAGAAAGCAATGTGGGTGGGTCGGAGGGTGGGTCGCGGGTGGGTCGCGGGCAGGGTCGCGGGTGGGTCGCGGGGTGTGTCGCGGAATGTGTCGCGGGTGGATCGCGGTTGGGTCGCGGGGTGGGTCGCGGGTGAGTCGCGGATGGGTCGCGGGTGGGTCGCGGGGTGGGTCGCGGGGTGGGTCGCGGGGTGGGTCGCGGGGTGGGTCCTGGGGTGGGTCTCGGGTGGGCGCGGGCGGGGTCGCGGGTGGGTCGCGGGGTGTGTCGCGGAATAGGTCGCGGGTGGGCCGCAGTTGGGTCGCGGGGTGGGTCGCGGATGGATCGCGGATGGGTCGCGGGTGGGTCGCGGGGTGGGTCGCGGGGTGGGTCGCGGGGCGGTTCGCGGGTGGGACGACATCAAACAACAACAACAACAACAACAACAACAACAACAACAACAACAATCATTTTACCCGAACGCGTGGTGTTCTCCCCAGTGCCAGGGTTTTCATACGACACCAGGCAATACCCCCACTTCGTGGGGGGGCATTACAAGCTCTACCAAATATCCAAACGACTCTTCGCGACCACCCAAACCCAGCTTCCCGCCCTATGACGTTGGGACACTTCACTTCGTGGCGTGCGGACGACCGTGGCTACTACACTGGCGTGGGGTACACACCCACAGAACCCAATGGTTTTTGGAGATTTCGGCGTGCGCGCGCGAAGAAAAAACGAATGTGTCCCGCATGGTATTATTTGACAGGGATGATGGCCCTGGCAGGTGCGCAACCGTTGTCGCAGAAGTTTGAAAAAGTTGCTCGCAAAAGCCCGTTTGACAAAATTGTTTAAAAAGTGATGGTTTTCCTACGAATCCGCAAGAGCGCGCGGGATGAGATTTTGACAATTTTTTATTTAAAAAACCATTGGGTTTTTGATGTTTTTATGTTGAAATCGTTCCGAAACCTAAGGTTTTGGAAGGATTTCGTCTTGCACGCGCGAATGTCCACTTTAGCTTATTTTTTGCAAGGGATTCTTGAAATTGGATTACATTTGAACAAGAAATTTCATTTTATAGTGTTTTTTGCAAGGGAAAACGGGGGGGAACAAAACAACCGGATCCGGTACTAATCCACTTTTCTGAAGCTTTCGCGAAAAAATGATGAAAATGTAGCTGCGGCCTAGGTTTTGGAGGGGGGTCGTGTACCAGGGGTCCCAACAATAATTATTCTTTAGAAGTAATAATGTTCAACAACAATCACTTTACCCGGACGCTCCGTTCTCACCAGTGCCAGGGTTTTCATAGGAGGCGGGCAATACCCCCACTTTGTGGGGGGGCCGGTTCAAGCTCTACCAAGTTTCCAAACGACTCTTCGCCACCACCCACACCCAGCTTCCCGCCCTATGACGTTCGGACACTTCACTTCGTGGCCTGCGGACGACCTTGGCTACTACACTGGCGCATGGGTACAGTGACTTGTTGTGGTAACATTTTGGAAAACCATTGGTTTTTTTAGGATTCGGACAGCGCGCGCGGGTAGAAATTTTGAAAAGTCGTGCAGGTGTTTTTCGAGGACCTACGGTGCGATTCGTGTGATTTTATGATGCGCGGTGCTAAAATTCTTAAGAACCCAATGGTTTTTGGAGATTTCGGCGTGCGCGCGCGAAGAAAAAACGAATGTGTCCCGCATGGTATTATTTGACAGGGATGATGGCCCTGGCAGGTGCGCAACCGTTGTCGCAGAAGTTCGAAAAAGTTGCTCGCAAAAGCCCGTTTGACAGAAATGTTTAAAAAGTGTTGGGTTTCCTACGAATCCGCAAGAGCGCGCGGGATGAGATTTTGACATTTTTTTGTTGAAAAACCATTGGTTTTTTGATGTTTTTATGTTAAAATCGCTCCGAACACTAAGCTTTTGGAAGGATTTCGTCTTGCGCGCGCGAATGTCCACTTTACCTTATTTTTTGCAAGGGATTCTTGAAATTTGATTATATTAGAACAAGAAATGTCATTTTATAGTGTTTTTTGCAAGGGAAAGCGGATTACAACAAAACAACCGGATCTTGATCACATCGAATTACCTGAGGCTTCCTCACGAAAATGATGAAAATGTAGCTGCGGCCTAGGCGGCGCAGGGGGGCCGTGCACCAGGGGCCCCAACAATAATTATTCTTTAGAATTAATAATGTTCAACAACAACAACAACAGCAACAACAGCAACAGCAACAACGACAACGACAACGACAACGACAAAGACAACGACAACGACAACAACGACAACAACGACAACGACAACAACGACAACGACAAAGACATCAACAACAACATGACCACCAACAACAAGAACAGTAATAATACAAATAACAACAGCAACGGCAACAACAACAACAACATCATCACCAACACCAACACCAACAACACCAACAATCATTTTAAGACTGTTCGATCTTATCTGCTCGAGTGTCCGTTAACGCGTATTTCCCAAACCCTCGCTATCTGCCCTTTTTACGTTTTCGATCGTACCCCTTTTGGGGGGTATATTTTTCTTCCCTGCAGGCCGGGCCCAGGCAAGCGGCGGGGCGGCCGCGGACCGTCGGCCTGGCCAGCGGCAGCGCTGATCGGCGGCAACCCGACCCCAAGAGGGACGGACAGGGGACCGACCACGACGACGACGACGATGACGACGACGTCGACGACGACGACGGTGACGACGACGACTACGACGAGCGAAAGTGAGAGCGAGAGAGAGAGAGAGAGAGAGAGAGAACGACAGCAGGGCCACGAAGGGCACGAAGTAGGCCACGAAGGCCGACAGCGGGGACACGAAGAGAATGCGTACGGGGCCTCGAGGAGCGCGAACGAGCGGGGACCTCGAAGGGCAGATAATGTGGGGCCACAGAAGGCAACGACGGGGCCACTGAGGGTAGCAACTGGGCCACGTAGGACAGCGAGGGCGCCACAAAGGGCGACAGCGGGGCCACGAAAGGCATGCACATGGGGCCGCGACGGGCGCGAACGAGCGGGGGCCACGAAAGGGCATGCGTATATTGGGCCACGGAGGGCAAGGGCGGGGCTAACGAGGGCAGCAACATGATTACGAAAAGCGCGAGGGGGCCGCGAAGGGCGACAGCGGGGCCACGAAGGGCATGCATATGGGGCCACGACGAGCGCGAACGAGCGGGGGCCACCAAGGGCATGCGTAGACGGGGAAGGGCAGCGAGGGGGCCACGAAGGCCTGCAACGGGTCCACGAAGGGCAACGAGGAGGCCACGAAGGGCTGCAACGGGGCCACGAAGGGCAGCGAGGGGGCCACGAGGGGCTGCAACGGGGCCACGAAACAAAGCGAGGGGGCCACGAAGGGCTGCAACGGGGCCGCGCAGGACAGCGAGGGGGCCACCAAGGGCTGCAACGGGGGCACGAAGGGCAGCGACGGGGCCACGAAGGCCTGCAACGGGTCCACGAAGGGCAACGAGGAGGCCACGAAGGGCTGCAACGGGGCCACGAAGGGCAGCGAGATCCCGATTCCTAAGTAATCTGTGAGGGAGTCCCAAGCGTGAACGCGACTCCTGGGTGCCTGAGTGTCGGGAGCGCGGCGCTTGAGTAAATTGCGGGAAGTTCGAACGCAAGGGCGCTA